AACCCCTACACCGTCTTCATTAACGTCGCTAATGGCTTCAGTGAAATTTAATATCTGCTTTAATGGCCTTCAATGCTTTGGGAGCTTCGGTTCCGAATGTTTTGCAGCGTTTGGTCCGGTCAGAAACAGTCCGATTCCTCGTTGACTTTCGGGCGTGAGCTTCCTAACAGTATCCATGGCATTAAAGTACTATGATATGGGTAACATATATGTCTCCTGTAAAATTCTAGCGGCTTTGGCATGGACAGTCCATTTTTGGCTGGAGGAATGAACTTGTACGGTTGGAACATTATTTATTCTTAACTTTCAGGACCACGAACATTTTTTTATTCCGAATTCGGAATATATTCCGCAAAAAAATAACGCTGGAGGGGGAGGAGGGGGAGGGGGAGAAGGGGAGGGGGAGGTGGGGGAAGGGGAGAAGGGAAAAGGGGTGGGGGGGACTCTGTGTGGGTAATGGGGGTGTTTGTGATATGATCGGTTAGACGGGCTCTTCTGTTTGAATGTGCGGTTGGCAGTGGGGTAGTGAGGAGGGGAATGAAGGCAGGACTGTTTCAGTTACTACGGTTTGTACGGCGGTACTGCAATCTCTCTCTGAGCACATCTTGCATGTCGTGCACGCCTCCATTACCTCTTTGACTGCGCCATGAACCCTACGTATTGCTGTGTTTGTCTGTCCATCTGTCCGTACATCTGTCTGTCTATCTGTCACTCATATGTCGTAACCCGCCACCCTGCCCAGGCATGAAGCAGCGGCGCAGCTGGCACTACAAGCAGGACTAGCGCGAGCTGCAACCCTAGGTACGGCACATGTTGTACGACATGCACCAATTAGGCGCCTCTGCTACAGCTGATGAAGCTAATGTGTGTCCGTGTGTGTGTGTGTACGGAGGCACACAAGAAGAGAAGGAACGTTGTCGCATCGAACGACCAGTGATTGACGTCCTACCCAGCTAGCGATGGGTATCGCTAGCCCACCTGGTCTGGGCTCCCAGCAGCAGCAGCAGCAGCTCCATCCCTCCCTTGGCGCCTTCAAATCTATTTACGCCCTTGTCACACAATCGTACACGGCCTTCCGACCCTACTGGGTGCTTAGATCCCAGTAGATCTAAGCACTTACAGACCGACATACATTTGCACTTCTTGCTGGTATTATTCGAATGACTGAGCCTGAAAACGCCAGAAGGCGTTACCCCACCGTACACCCGCGCACCCACCCCGCCCCTTCCCGCACACCAATACACACACCACACCTACACACGCTGGCATCGCCATGTGCAGGTCCAGGCCACCCGTCCACCCTAGCTACTAAGCGGGCTGCCGTACCTCAACTACTTCAGTTGGGTCGCCTGACGGAAGCTCAGATCCTAGCCAAGAGTTTGCTGAGGCTGGCGGTCTCGGAGCATGGGGACCTACACCCCTCGGTTGGATTATGTCATGGCGCCGTCGCGATGGTGGGTGGAAATTTCTGGGGTTCTGGGTTGACCCTACCCCCCGACTCCCCTACCCCCCCAACCCCCTACCCCCCCAACCCCCCTACCCCCCCACTCCCCTACCCCCCCCACTCCCCTACCCCCCCAACCCCCCTACACCCCCACTCCCCTACCCCCCCACTCCCCTACCCCCCCACCCCCCTACCCCCCCACTCCCCTAACCCCCCAACCCCCTAACCCCCCAACCCCCCTACCCACCCCAACCCCTTACCCCCCCAACCCCCCTACCCACCCAACCCCCCTACCCCCCCACCCCACACACCACCCCCATACCGCACCCCGCACCTCAGGTTCTCGCCGCCCAGAATAAGGCCGAGCTGGCGTACTCTTCCGCCCAGCGGGGCGCTGAGGTGCTGGCGGCGTGTCTAGGGAGGGGCCACCCCGCCACTTTGGAGGCGTTACAACTCTGCGCGGACATGCTAGAGAGCGCACGGGTAACCCTGGGTCAGAGAGTGGTTGGCGGTTGGGTTGGTTGGGGTTAGTAAAGTTCGTTGGGGTGATTTGAAGCAATGAGGGTGGGTGGATGGGGAAGACATACATACGGTGTCACATGTTGGGGTTACACGCCGGCCGCCTTAGGGGCGCGTTGTGATGGGTTTGGGTCGGTTCATCGGGTCATTAGTCGTAAGTTAGTTGGGCTTGTTTCTATTAGTTTCCTCGTTGGTTGGTTGGTTTGTTGGTTGGTATAACGTACCCATCTGTGTACAGTCGACGACTGAGAGGACAACTCGGGAGGGTGGATGTGATCACGGTGAAGGAACTCCGTCTTGTACTTCCAAAATGAAAGGGGACACCCAGCGCACGTATGTATGTATGTATGTACGCCCGCGTCCCAAAATCTCTCTTCTCTCTTCCCCCTCCACACCCACACTCTCCCATCCTGCCGTTTGGTTATGTGCGGCGGCAGGAGTACGGCAAGGCGGTGGCGCTAATGCGGCTGGTGGTCCAGGGGCGCTCAGTCCCGGGAGCCATCCGCACTTCTCCCGCCTCACCCGCGTTTCTAGCGCCGAACAATAGATTATTGCATCTAAGGACCATCGCTGCACTAGAGGTACGGCACCTGTACGAGAGCGTCTGTCTGTCTGTATGTTTCGTTAGAATCGGTATAGCGTTCTTCGCGCATTGTGTCCATACGCCGGTCGCCGGAAGGGATCAGGGTCATTGAAGGGGCGCGTCATCCTTGCCGCATCGTTGCCGTACACACATCCACATGTCCATACACACACGCGCGCACGGTGTTACTATACGAATTAGCCCTTTCCCCCCCTCCTCGCGCGCCTCCTGCGCCTCCTCGTCGCCACCATCACCATATCCCGCCGCAACCGCGCTGAAACCCCAACGGCTCACGTCGTACGGAGCAATGACTCTTAACTCTACTCTACGTGTGCTAATTTCCGTTTTGCCCTATCAGGTGCCGTACCAGGTGCCGTACCTCGCCACCTCTATGATTTGCTGCTGTCGGTTCATCACCACCATAGACGTCATCATTTTGCAGCACATTGCCAGCACCTTTCCTTTGTTTTTCCCTCCGCCCCCACATCTTATTTCAATGTTGAGATGTCTAAATGTATTTCTTTCCTCTCCGCCCTGTTGGTGGTTGTGGCGGTTGTGGTGGTTGCGGCGCGCAGGAAAAAGCCATGTCAGAAGAACACTCCAGGTTAGTTAAAGTTAGTTGGGGAAGCGATTTTAGAGTATTCGTTGACATTTGTGGACCGTTAACGGCTAGGCCGTTGGGCGGTTGGAAGTTGGGTGACATTGCATTACAAATCCAACTTAATGCGCATCCCTCAAACCCCCGGACAACGGCTCAGTTTTACGGTTTTGCAGTCTTCTGTACCGCTGAGTTGCCTAGTCAGCCAGGGGCTAGGAGAGGCCCCCGGCTGGCGTGAGTGAGTGAGTGAGTGAGGGAGGGAGTGAGAGGGGCGTGTGGATAAACAGACAGACGGACGGACGGACGTGGAGCTGCGCGCCCGCCCCTGCGCTGCTGCTGTGTTTCGGTCCGGTCCGGTGGCTCGCCCCACCCACACACAGTGTATTCACCCCCCGTCAACATGGACAACAAGAAACAACAACAGGAACAGCAACAAGAGTAGACAACCACAACAACAAGGCGCCACTACCTTCGGCGTCATTTGGCAGTTGCCGCCAAATAACATATGTAGCGCAATCGGGGGGTTGTACGTCAGGGTACGACAAAAGCGTTTTGTCGTACGGCACGCAACCACCGCTTCTGAACACACTGAGCTGTATATAGTTTATAACATAGTGAACGAAAAAACATGCCAGGACAGTCGACGTGTTTCGTACGACCCGTGTCCGTATGCCGCACGCCCGTGTCCGTACACTGCCGTGCACTATGTACTGCAGGCGCGCCATGATTGGTGTGATGCGGAGCCTGTCCCGGCTGGAGACGGAGCTGCGAGCCGCCCTCATGGCCATGACGGGAGCAGCTGCTCAAACACAGATGCAGATCCAGGTGCGAGTGTACGGCATTGGAAACATCTTGCATTTTGTGGGTGTGCGGGTGTATGGGAGTATGAGGGGGTGGTATATCCTCTTGCTTTCCTGGGAGGTTCCTCCAGGTTCTCCATGTCTGTGTCATATGATGGTTTGTGTGTTGCGATTTTTCGTTTCTATCAAAAACTCAACGCTCAACCCTTCCAAACCCCCCATCCACCAAGTTATCCACAACTTTAAAACCCACCAACTTCGGTAGGGTTGTCCTCCACGTCTGCCCCCGCAACCCCAAAAGACAGGAGTCCCCTTCCCCTCCGACCCCCTTCCCGCTGCGACATTTTGCCCTCAGCGCGATTTGGAGTTGGTGTTGATGGCTCAAAACAAGCGCTACGAGGCAGCCATGTTGCGGAAAGGGGAGTTGCGACCCGCTTGAGCAGGTTCTGGAGCTGGTTTTGGAGCTGGCGGGTAGGGGAGCAGAGATCTTGTTTCGGAGCCGGCGAATATGGAAGAAGAGCGCCGGTTTTGGAGCTGGCGGGTAGGGGAGCAGAGATCTTGTTTCGGAGCCGGCGAATATGGAAGAAGAGCGCCGGTTTTGGAGCTGGCGGGTAGGGGAGCAGAGATCTTGTTTCGGAGGCCGTATTCGTACTGCCTCCTAAATAGTGAGAATCAGGAGGGGCGTTGGGAAGGCGGGGAAGATGCAATGAGAGCGGGGTTGAGTGGTTGAGTGGGTGGGTGGTTTCATGGTGGCGGCGTATGTCTCGCAGCTCGGGACCGGCAACAGTTGTAGCAGCTGCAAGACCACTGTCAGCGGCAGCAGCGGCGGCGGCAGTAACAGCAGCAGTAGCAGCGGCGGCAGTAACAGTGGCAGTAGCAGCGGCAGTAGCAGCGGCAGCGGCAGCCTTGCTCAGTCTTACAGGCAAATTATTCATAACAACGGATCACCTAAGGCCGGGGGTCGGGAGGTGGTTTTCGCGTCGTTGGTGTGATGGTGCAACTTATCGGAGGCCTACTAGGTGTGAGAGACCTGGGAAAATGGCGTAGGTGGCTCGGGGTGATGAAGTAAAATATTTATGTGTGTTGACCTTTATATTCTGACCATATTTTGGCCATGGACCGTTGATCAAATGTTGGACCTCCGTTTTGACCTCCGTTCCCCTCGACCCGCGGGGTAACACTTGATCACCAACTTGCATGTTTACTTTTGGCAACACACACACATACATACATACCTATATGCACATACATAAACATATATAACAACATACACATAGAGTTATGTACACATATAAACTTACAGTAGCTGTGTGTTATTGTACCACGACTTCAGAAAAGTACCGATCGGCGGATGCAGATCTCCCGTGATGGTGATGATATGCCCCCCAAGATACTACACTATGGTCCCCTGAGGTCGGGGTCGGGGTCCGCGTGCTTTGAAGTGCATGTTCGCTGCATTTGTTGCTCCATTTGCTCTCATATGGCTGTAAGACCTGTGATGCCCTAATAGACGAAGCCTAGGCCCGTCGCGAACCACCAAGCTCCGTGACAGACCGTAATAATGATCCTGCGAGGAGGGTCTTCTCGAACTTTGCCGGAAATCATCTTCTGGGGTAATGTTCAACTCCCTGGGGGGGTACATCTAGTGTAAAAATCGGCATTGCTAAAGTGTTAGGTGAGGTAAAGATATGGGTTCTGTTTAACTCCTACATGAGTAACCTGCGTGGATTTCAGTGCTCCTCAGTGATCGATCGGTTTCACCCCGGCATCCGGGCAAACCCGGACTTCTTAGTCCTCAGCCCGTCGGCGCTTGTTTCCTATTAAGGCAACCGCTCCTGTTGATCAGGTTAGCATGTCTAATGCGATGCACAGCTGTTGTATGCTTAAAAGATGGCGTTCTAATTCGCTCTTCCCAATCGTGTAACGATTTGGCACCCATTTGGAGTGGACTCTATCGATAGAGTAGATAGATATCCTCTTTCACTTGGTATCTGCTAAGCGATCCTCATTGCCTGTACGACGACCATACATCGACTGTCCCGCGTAGTTGGCCAGTTGGTAGAGCTTCACTCAGCGAGGGACTCCTCTCTGCTGCTGAAGATAAGCTCACGTAATTACAGACGATGAGGATGATAATTACGTCCGCCATCCAACCAGAACAGGAGTTGAAACACTAGCAACGGTTCTAATGAAATATAATAATTTTACAGTTAGGCCACACCGGGTAATGAGGCACGTGTGTAAGAGTGTTAAAAAAGGTTTATCACTCCAGGACATGGACCTCATCGTGATTGGAGGGGACCAATGATGAAGGGGTTGGGAGAGCGGGGGCTCGGTAGGCTGCGCTATTGGTTATCACACGTTATTTTCTCGCAGGTATATGAAGAACCCTGCGGCCCCTATCCAGGCTGCGAGTCTTCGCCTAAAACCGTCCACTGCCATATGTGGTTGGATATCCAACCAACCCGCCATCAAGCACCCTGTCGTCGCGCACATACATCTCGGCCAGTAAATTTAATCGTGGCAGCACAAGGCCAGGGGCAAATCGGCGCCGAGCTAGGAACCTTGAGCAAGAAGATGTGGACAAATTTACTCGTGATGATCTCTTGCATTTCGACGTTCGTGATATTAGAACTCGTGCCCCTTGCGACTACATAATCCTCATCCTTAACAATGGCTTTCATAATACACATGTCATAAGAACACATCAACAGGAGAAGTCATGAGAACAATTTCGCCTATATTTTGTATCATTGGTACTTAGCCTATCCGCTCCGGCCAAGCCATCTCTGCATCAAGGGCTACTCATGCCATGCTGCGCATAGTCGTCAATAGTGCAGGAACCTTCCACCTATTAGTACGGCACCTGGCTGGCTGGGCAGCAGCTGTCGTCCGCATTGAGCAGCGAGTACACGCAGCTGTTGCCGTAGCACAGCCCCGCCGGAGTGCCACACCTGCTGTTTCGACTCATGGCCAGACATACATACAGGCCGCCAGGGGGGGTTACGGGGAAGGTGCTCGCCAGGGACGTGATCGTCATCACGCCGTACGTCTGCTCCCGCCATGTCTTGTAGCTGTAGCTGGGGGACACCGTCACACCGTTGACGGTGGTTACTCGGAAGGAGTTGGGGAAGGACTCCACGCAGCTGGGGTCTGCGGTGAACCGTGCGGGCCCCGGGAGGGAGTTTGGGGTCCGGGGGGGGGGAAACAGGGCGGAGTCGGTGTTGGTTATCTTGATTAACATTGGAGGGAAAGGAAAGCTCCCTGCAGCTGGGTGAGCCGTGAGCTGATGAAGGCGGTGTGCGTAGTGAGGGACCCCTACACACACCACACACATACATGCATGTTGAGCGCACAACTGATGAGGTGCATGGAGGTCACCATGATGATCACGACCAGCTAGGTAGCTAGGTAGTAGGAGATAGGTAGCTAGGTAGATAGCTAGGTAGCTAGGCAGCTAGGTAGCTAGGTGGCTAGGTAGCATATAGCTACTCACCGATGACGATTTGAAGCTCATTGATGACCATCCTCGCACATGGGCTGGTGCTGTCCACTGTTGCTGAGGCGGAGATCCGGAAGCAGTAGGTGGCGGCGGTGGCGGTTACGTTGAACGGCCCCATGGGTGA